GATTTGCCTTCATAGTTTTGAGGCTTAACCTTGGCTCCACGTCTCACTCTATTTAGAATCTTGTCTACAAATCAGTTGAAAATTACAAGCATAATCAATTGGCTCCACGTCTCATTTTATTTAGGGGCCGTTTACCAAACACTTACCCGGTAAGCGCTTACCGGTAAATTTAACACTATCATTTACTTATCGGATAAGATTTTAGTCCACAAAAACAGTATCGTATGTAACAATTTACCCGGTAAGCGCTTACCGTGGTAAGAGTCGTCGCCTTCACTTATCGGGTAAGACTCTTGGTCCTTGTCTCACTTTTACCGGATAATATTCTTGATCATTACCATATTCATCCGACAAGGTAAATGACTTGGTGCTCACTTACCCGAGTAAGCGTTTGGTAAACGACCCCTTAGTATCTTATTGCCACACCATCACCATGCCTTATGCCATTTTAGAATCTTAGCTTCAAAATCTTAAAAATATCCAACAGATTAAAATATTTTAAGTTTTAAAAAAAAATGAAATCCGTCCGAAATTTCAGACTTTTTTTTTTATAAATTTTACACTTTTTTAGAAGCTACTATTAAAAAAGAAACAAAAAAAATTTATCTTAAAAATCTCCGACGGATTAAAATATTTTAAGTTTTTTTATTTAAAAAAAATGAAATCCGTCGGAAATTCGTCGGAAATTTCAGATTTTTTTTAAAAATTATATACTTTTTTAGAAGCTACTATTAAAAAAGAAAAAAAATTTTATATCTAAAAATCTCCGACGGATTAAAATATTTGAAGTTTTTTTATTTAAAAAAATGAAATCCGTCGGAAATCTGACGGAAATTTTAGATTTTTTTTAATAAATTTTATACTTTTTTGAAAGCTACTATTAAAAAGGAAACAAAATTTGTTTTCTTAAAATCTCCAACGGATTAAAATATTTTAAGTTTAAAAAAAATGAAATCCGTCAAAAATTTCAGATTTTTTTTTAATTTTATACCATTTTAGAAGCTACTATTAAAAAAGAAACAAAATTTTTTTATCTTAAAAATCTCTGACGGATTAAAATATTTTAAGTTTTTTTATTTAAAAAAAATGAAATTCGTCGGAAATTTCAGATTTTTTTATAAATTTTATACTTTTTTAAAAGCTACTATTAAAAAGGAAACAAAATTTTTTTTCTTAAAAATCTCCGACGGATTAAAATGTTTTAAGTTTTCTTTAAAAAAAATGAAATCCGTCGGTAATTTCAGATTTTTTAAAAAAAAAATTTATACTTTTTTAGAAGCTACTATTAAAAAAGAAACAAAAAAATTTTCCTTAAAAATCTTCGAACGGATTTCCGACGGATTAAAATATATTTGAAAAAAAAGAGAAATTTTAAAATTTTCAACGTATTTCCGACGAAGTTTAATTATTTTTAAATAAAAAATTAAATTCCGTAGGAAATCCGTCGGAAAATATTTTAAAAATGTTTTCATTTTTTCTTACAAAAAATATATTTTTAGAGAAAATAAAAAAGAAGAAAATATAAAATTTCGAATGGATTTAAATTTTTAATTTTAGAAAAAAGTTTTTATATTTCAGATGGTTCAATTGGCTTTAACGAGCACTGTTGGACTTTAATGGACGTATTGGTTTTACTATGTTTAATTGGGCTTTAATGATTTCTGTTGGATTTTAACAGGTATTATTAGTTGTAGCTGTAATACCCAATAACGAGTATTATTGGGCTTTATTCGGTTCAATTGGGCTTTTACATGTATTATTGGGTTTTAATGGATCTTGGTAAAATTTAATGGATCTTAGTGGACTTTATTCTGTTCAACTAGGTTTTAATGGAGCTATTGAGTCTTATTCGGTTCAATTGGGCATTAACGAGTACTATTGGACTTTAACAGATCTATTGGGATTTAATAGATCTAGTGGGCCTTATTTGGCTCAATTTGGCTTTGACGGGTACTATTGGCATTTATTCGGTTCAATTGAGCTTTAACAAGTATTAGGCTTTAACGGGTACAATTGGGCTTTAAATGATACTGTTGGGCTTTTATGGATCTTAGTCGACTTTAATGAATATATTGGGCTTTAACGGGTACTATTGAGCTTTCATGGATCTTAGTGGCCTTATTCGGTGCAATTGGGTTTTAACGGGTACTATTTAGTCTTCAATGGATCTTAGTGGATTTTAATGGATATATTGGGCTTTATGCAGTTCAATTGAGCTTTAACGAGTACAATTGGGCTTTAAAGAGTACTGTTGGGCTTTCATGGATCTTAGTGGATTTTAATGAATATACTGGGCTTTAACGGGTACTATTGAGCTTTCATAGATCTTAGTGGTCTTATTCGGTGCAATTTGGCTTTAACGGGTGATATTTGGTCTTCAATAGATCTCAGTGGATTTTAACGGGTATTATTGAGCTTTAACGAATACTATTTGGTCTTCGATAGATCTCAGTGGATTTTAGTGGATCCATTGGGTATTATTGAGCGTTAACAGGTGCAATTTGGCTTTAACGGGTACAATTGGGTTTTACTAGGTACAATTGGGCTTTAAGAGGTACTACTGGGCTTAAATAGATCTTAGTAGACTTTAATGAATATATTAAACTTTATCGGGTACTATATTCGGTTTAATTGAGTTTTAATAGTTATTAATGACTTTATTCCAATCAATTGGATTTTAACGAATACTATTGACTTTAATATCTATTTTAAATATAAAGATTTGTTGAAAATTTTATAAAAATATTTTGTATTTTTAAAAAATGTTCCGACGAATTTATTTATTTATTTTAAAAAGTATTTTAAAAATTACCTTTTCCGACTGAACAGGACGGATATTTCGTCGGAAATTTGAATCTTCTAAAAAGGGGCCCAAAGCCCAAATTGTATTAGAGTTAGGTTATCTCCAAAAGTCCAAATTGAAATCCCGCTTGCTAATCTGAAATCCCAACCGGTTACTGCTACCCTACCGATTATCGAACACGAAGACGAGTTGGAATCGGCTTACTGCTTCCCTACCGATTATCCAAACACGACTCTTGACTGCTTCTAGATCGAACAGTGGTTTGGATTACGGTTAAAAGAATATGCTTAAGTAATTTGTTTATTTCAGCTAACTTAGGGGGTGTTTGGGATTGCTTATTTAAAACAACTTATGCTTTTTTGTAAAAGTGCTTATTAACTTATGTGGTATCAAACTGGAGTTTTGTAAAAAGTGTTTGGATTAGCTTATAACGGTACCAAAAAGCAATAAGTTGATWAGTTGGTTTTTAGTGTTTGGCAAATTTGGCTTATAGATGTAAAATTACCAAAAAGGTCCTCCAATCAACCTCCTGTTCATCGTCTCCATCCTCACTCCAAACCCTATTTTCTCCAGATTCCTCTCCATCAGATTCCTCTCCATCCTCATCATTCCAACCCTATTTTCTCCAGATTCCTCTCCATCCTCATCACTCCAACCCTATTTTCTCCAGATTCCTCTCTAGTGTTCATCCGTGGAAGAGGTTGTCATCGCCGTGGAAGAGGTTGTCATCGCGATCTCCTGTCAGTGGTTTCTCCCCGAGAACCTCTGCATCAGCGAGTTTCTTGGCACCGATTTCCGTCTCCAAGACGACATCCGTCTCCAAGATGACATTCGATTCGATTTCACAGGCTTCACTGCGATTTCTCTGGTTTGAGATTTCTCTGGTTTGAGATTTCTCTGGTTTGGTACTGGTTTGAGGCTTTGGTGAGAGGAAGGTAAGGGTTAAAATGGTAAATTGTTAATAAGTTGATTTTGATAAGTCAGGGAGGATTGACTTATCAAAAACGACTTATTACCGGTTTGGTACCGGTATAAGCACTTTTTTTTTTTTACCCAAACACTCCAAAATGACTTATCTCCGGTACCGAACTGAAATAAGTTAATAAGTCAGTTTGAAAAGCTTACCCAAACACCCCCTTAGTTGTCCCGATTTCTCCCAAATCTGAAATGTTGTATCGGTTACTGCTTCCCTACTCCTTAGCTGTCTGAAATGAAACTTAGAATAGCACAAAATCGGTTACTGCTTACTGCTTCCATTTGCTTTTGTTTTCTTTTCTTCCTACTTCCTTCTTCCATTTGCTTTTGTTTTCTTTGCTTCCTGCTTCCTGCCAAATCTAGGGGAAGAGTATTAGGATTGATTGACACACAGTTATACACAATAGAAGCTACAGGAAATGAAAAATCAAATCTGTTGTTTGTATGCATCCATGGCCCACTGTCATAGCTAAGATTCCTATTATATGATTGATAGACGAATATTGACCCTTTTATATAAAGAAAACCAGACAATAAATGGATAAAACTTGAAATCTGTCATTCAAACCATCTGATGCTTGTGATCCTTTTCTCACAAGATTTGTGAATTGCCAACCAGGGTGGCAATGGCCAGGCCACTGAAGTTTTCATGCCAAACCAATACCTTCAATAAGCTATAAGTTTAAGCTATAAGTTTGTATTTATATATTTATTAACCTGCCAAAAGGTTTACGGTAATAATATGCTTTTTGAATGTATAGATTCATTAACCAAAGTAATTGGTATTTAAGTCTCTCTTTAATTAAGCAAGAATTTATTAATCAAGAGGCTGCTTTTCGTGATTTATACATCAGTATAGTTTTTTTCCAAATCTTGGAAACTATCTTTCTTCTACTGAAGTGTACTAAATATAAATTGGTTCCTGTAAATTAAAATCTTGGCATGCACACTACTCCCAATTATGCAGTAGCTACTAGGGGTGCTCGAAAACCCGACCAACCCGATCAACCCAATCCAACGCGAAATAACTCAACCCAAAGCAACCCGATGTCTAATCGAGTTGTAAAATTTTCAAACCGTAGGTATTGGGTTGATATTGAGTTACTATTAGTTGAACCCATCCCAACCCGATGAACCCGATATTCTTTTATTTCTTGAATTTTTATTCAAATGCCTTCAACCCGATCAACCCATCCCAACCCATGAGCACCCCTAGTACAGTATGCCGCGTATTTGGCGTGGAGGAGGTAGGGGAAGAGGTAGGGGCGATTCTACAGGTACTCCGTCCCCATCTACTGCTACACTTAGCCGACCTACACCTACTCCATCTACTGCTACACCTAGCCGACCTATTACTAGCCAACCTACACCTACTCCAGGATCTAGTAGTGCTTCTGTACAAGCAGAAATGTCCGTGGCATCAATGCTCCAGAACATCTTCCARCCGAGAGAACGAGGATTGGTGTTACATCCAATGAGTAAGTGTTATATTAACTAATTGATCAAATTAATTATTTTTGGTTATCAATACTAATTCAACTCATTACACAGGTTTAACAACATCCATGCGACCCGTCATTTGACTCAGATTGTTCGATCAATGATTGAGGGCCATGGTGCAGGTGGTCGGAAATCCCTAAGGAGGTGAAGACACGGATGTGGGAGCGTTTCCAGGTTTGTAGTATTCTTTTAACTTGTTATATTTTTGCTAGTTTTATTTTGAAGTCAACAAGCAACTAATCTTGTATGTATAGGGGTACTATTGTTGGGATTCAGCACTGGACGCCAAGATGCTGCAGATATGGGAGACTCGGGGTGCCAAAAACTACAATGATGGCATGAATTCTGCTAGGAGAAGGGCAGGAGAAATGGCCAGAAGTCAATCGATGCCCTATGTAGAAAACGACCCTAATAGGGATATGACTATGTTAAAGGGCTTCCACCCTAAGTGGCTCGATCCTCGTATCTGGTGCGAGATGATTAATCGTTGGAACACGCCCCATTGGAAGGGTGTAGTTTCCAAGGCGGCGCATGATAATCGAATGACTATGGTGGAAGGTGATATAGCCAAACACACCGGCAGATCGATCACATTCGTAGGTCCTTAATATCGATTACTTTAGTATCTTGATTTTTAATATGATACAATTAACACATGTTTTTATTACTTGCTACTATGTAGACGAAAACAAAAAATGGCGTGCCACCGTCCGCTAGGGAACTCTTCGATCATACGCATAAGAAGAGGTCGAGTACAGAGTCATCTTCGGGTTGCGGGTCACGAGGGGAGTACGTGACTTCGAGGTGTAGCCAGGTTGCGGTAAGTTTACAATACCTATATATAACTTCAAACTCTATATTGGGTTGTCGTATGTTGGAGAAACGTTTGGATTATTTAAGTTAAAATGTTAGTGTATGTGTGTGTGATATATATTTCTATCTAGTTTGGGTTGTCATTTGTTGGGCAAATGTTAGGATTGTTTAAGTTAGAATGTTAATATATATATATATATATATATATATATATAGGAGCGTTCAAATAAAAACTTGCCCCATTTGTGTAAACCGTGTAAGCCAATCTCATCAATCCATTTTCTTGATCAATGGCAAATATTAGTTTACTTTATTTTAGGAAATTAAAAAAATATATATATTAAAAATTTATTTTATTTCAACAGTAAGGGGAAAAATGATAAACAAAATTTAACATTTGGTAACATCCTTCTTGATATTAATGACACTATTTTCATTTTTTAAAGCAATATATTATTTTTAACTTTAAATCACATCCATCAATAAAACATATCAAAAAAAAAAAATATATAACACAACATATTCAATTATATGTAGTGAATCGTTTTAAATTTTGAATTACATTATATGAACGAAATTGGTTTCAAAATTTAATCAACAAACTAATCCACGAATACTGATCATATTTCGTAATTTTCATTATATTGGTAGATGGATCCGTTACACTTAGATAACGAAAAATTTTTCATCGATTACTGACTTCATAAAAGTTTATAATACAACATGAAATTGTTTCATTGAAGCAACCATTTCACTTATCAGGCTAAATACTGCCATGAACCAGTTTCACTTTCATGAAAACTATTTAATGTACAATAATTTTCTTATTTCACCACCGATTTGATGGAATCATTCATTTAGTCCTTGCAATCTTGAAGATTCTGGAGCAGGTTACAATCTTCAAGATTATGTAGCAAATTAAAATAATTTCCCCGTTTCATCATGTACTTCGTTCATGACGAGCGAAATACAAAATGGCTCAACTACACTATCAATGCAACGGGTTCACCATGAAAATATTTCGGTTCACATAATTTATTTGCAACAAGACTCGCTTTCACGTTCATGAAGCCTGTCGTTTTCCTTTTCATAATTTATTTTCAAAATGCACCGGTTTCATTTTCCTTTTCATCAACAAAATGGATCAACTACACCATCAATGCAACGGTTTCACCATAAAATTGTTTTGGTTCACCTAATTTATTTGCAACATGAACCGATTTCACGTTCATGAAACCTGTTTCATTTTCCTTTTCATAAGTTTTTTTCAAAATGCACCGGTTTCATTTTGCTTCTCATAGAAAAAAGGATTAACTACACCATCAATGCAACGGGTTCACCATAAAAATGTTTCGGTTCACCTAATTTCTTTGCAACATGAACTGGTTTCACGTTCATGAAATCTGTTTAATTTTGTGGATTTTTTTTGTTCATCTATGTTTTGATGATTTCATTTTATAATTCAATTGTTTCATCAAGACACGTTTCCTAATTATAACTAATGACAATATATGAAATCCAAATTTTTAATATTTTAATATAATTAAATATTTAAATGTTACATTTATACAATTTTCTTTATTACGTTTTCTTAATTAAGATTTATTAATAACTTCCATATTTAGTAGAAAATATTGTAAATGACCGAAATACCCTTATTGATTAAATTTAATTAGAAAAAAAAGGAATTTTTCTATTGGTCGAAATTGGTTTACACGGTTTCTTAGAAATGCACGGTTTTCATTTGAACGTGCCCCTATATATATATATATATATAGAGAGAGAGAGAGAGAGAGAGAGAGAGAGAGAGTTTGGGTTGCCATTTGTTGGGCAAACGTTAAGATTGTTTTAGTGGAAAACGTTCCATTTACAGTTGTTATGCTGTCGAAATTGACTGGTAATATTTTTTAAACCACAGGGTGCCTATTCAAACAATCTCACAAAAAGTACGATGAGGATCCCTCGGCCTATCCCCTAGTAATACTAACTTGTGGAATGAGGCGGTTGGGGGATCCAAGAAAGGTCGTCTATTTGGGTTCGGGTACAATGAAGATCTCAATTTGGGTTCGGGTACAATGAAGATCTCAATAGTCAGGTGTGTATCTCTTTATCCTTTTATGTTTATTTATTTCATTTATACTTCTTGTTAGAAATTTTAACGTTTTATTATATATGTAGTTAATTAACAACTTACAGTCCCAAATTGAAGAAATGCGCACTCGAGATGAGATCCGATAGAAGGAGGTTGAGGAACTTCTTCGCCGAGAAGAGATCTGAAACAGGGAAGATGAGATCCGGAAGAAAGAGCATGCAGACATGATGGATATGATGAGGTTTACACAATCTCAACAGTTTCCGCCGACCCCGACGCAATAGATTTGATATCGTGTATTTATGAACTAGCGTCATCAATCGAATTTATATATGTATATTATTTCGTCCGGATAATCATATTAGGTATTTATGATATATTTGTGTATTGTATATTTGTATTTAATTACAGGATCTTTTATATTTTAGGATTTTATATTTTGGTTCAGCTAAATTTTCGACGGATTTTTGGCGGAAAATCCGTCGGTAAATAATTAGATATAAGTTTTATTTAAAAAATTTCTGGCTTCAACGGAAAATCCGTCGGTAAATATTTTCCGTCCATTAAAAATAAAGAACATTTTCATATTTTAAATTAGAAAAAAAGTTTTAAAATATATTTACCGACGGAATTTCCGTCGGAAATCCGTCGAAAAAATGTTATTTTTATTTTTGAAATAAAAACTGCTTATTATTTTGGAAGAAAATGAAAAAAGTTTACCAAGGACTTCTGATGGAATTTCCGTCGGTAACTCTAATCTCATCTTATATTCCTACTAATTAACCCGAGTAATGGATAACATATTATGAAATTGCTCCACGGATTTCCGACGGATTTTTCCGTCGGAAAATACAAATCCGTTAGAAATTCCGTCGGAAATTGCATTTAGCGGCGGGGGGTTTTCCGATGGCAAAATCCGTCGGAAAATTGTTTTTCGGACGGATTTTCGACGGATTTTGTCATCGGAAAAACCATATTTTTTAGTAGTGTTCATTTGGCCAAGATATACAACTCCAAGTCAAAATCTTAAGGGGAAAATGTATTATTTCCTACTGTTATCTTAACGGTATGCAGTTTGCAGGTAACTTCATTTCAAGCTCTCACCCAAATTCCATAACCTCCAAACATTCATAATCATCCTCAAAACTATATGGTTCATCTCTGCATCTAAAAGGGTTTTCAGAAAGAAAACAGTTAGCTTTGAGACTAAGGGGTTACTTATTTCCTCAACTGAACATTTACCGTCTCTTACCGGTAAGGGGTGTTTACCCGGTCAAAGATGACGGTATTTATCAACAATTTTAAGGTATCATTTGCTGGTGCAATCTTAGCCGGTAAGGCAAATGAGGATGGTGACTATTACATGGTAAGCGCTTACCCAATGACGTTCAATCTCATTGACAGCTTGAGAGATCATATCAACAGCCGTGGTGGTCGTTGGAGAGGAAAATGGGATTCCACGCTGCACAAGAACTCTTGAGAGCGCAATTAAGCTTGCATATAGCCAATAACATAAGTTTAGAAATTCTTGATGAGTAAGGCTTCAGAATTGTTTAGATTGTATGTGGTTTTGAGGGTTCTCATTAATACACTGTTGCTTCTCATTACCCACCGGGTTTAGTAGAATTAGAAATGTAGCCGTTTGCTGATAATTTTATGCTCCAGGCTTGTCAGCAGTGTATCATTGTTTTCATATCTTCAAGCAATGAAAATAGAAGATAACTGTTTGTTCGAGTAGAGATCGAATAGGGTTTCAATGGACAAAGGTTTTGATTTAGGGAGTTGAATTTAGGGTTTTAGACAGTGTTCTAGAGGTGCATTTAGGTTTTGATTTAGGGAGTTGAATTTAGGGAGGTGCATTTAGGTTCATGTTGCTAGCATCTCCACCCACTTGCAATCCATGATCAAATACTGAATGTTGTTTGATTTGCATCACCAGTTTTGAAAATTAATGCTAGATATTATACTATGAACAGATATTGATGCAATCAAGTAGTGACACTACAACAAAATTGGGTTTACAGAACACTTCCAATTTTTAAATGTCCTAATAGACCTCTTTATAAGACTTAGTTTATAGCACCAAAAAAAATAAAGCGTCCTGTCTAAAGGCATTATAAAAAGTTTATATGACGTTTTTTGATGTCGTAATAAGTTTTTAGGACACTTTTAATATAAAGCGTCACATTATCAACTTTATAGGACACCATTTGAAAAACTGTCCTATAAAAACAAATGTCCAAAAAAAAATTGAGTTTATAGGACACATTCTCAAAAGTGTCATATAAAGTTGATAATGAGACGCTTTATATTAAAAGTGTCCTAAAAAACTTATTATGACGTCAAAAAATGTCATATAAACTTATTACGACACCTTTAGATATGATACTTTATTTTTTTGGTCCTATAAACTAAGTCCTATAAAGAGGTCTATTAAGACACTTAGGATTTGAGAGTGTCCTATAAAACCGATTTTGTTGTAGTGGTGTGTGCAAAAATAGTTCTAACAATTGAAACCAAAACTGGATTGGAAATGAGTATTGATTATTTTTGTTCTCTGTTCAGTTGCAAACTGTACAAAAATAGAATCATATTATAAGTTTAAGATATGCACTATTTTGGGTTATTGTAGTTTTTGGACTTGATATGTATTACACCATTACTTGATTCATAATTTGGGTTGTGTTGGAATTGATGTGTTGTGTTATTTGAAATTTGATGGTCATTTATGGTTTCTCTAAAATGCAAAGGATGTGTTACATGTTGAATGTATGATAAGTAGTTGGTTGAACTATATAAGCATGCATAGTGCATCAGTGGTTTACATTTTACTTAAACAACCAAATAGATAACACACAACCAATTAGAGTGGGAACATAATTATTCACCTACTCACGTTTTTAATATGCAATATGCACCCAAAAAGCATGCCATACATGTTGCATGTGTGAACTTTTTCTTTAAATAGTTTTCATTGCTAAAATCAAGTAGCACAACCCAGATCTTCATAGTTTGGTTTGGGACTGAACCGTCTTTCAGGTTTTGGTTTCCTAGACTCGTTGGTGAGAGATGGAAAGTTAGAAGTCGTCGGTTTATTAAAAAGAGAAGATTGAAATAAAAACATGTTGTATCTATCAAGTGTCAGTGGTTGTGATTTCCAAGTGGTGCTTATAGATTTTGCACCATTTGCCAACAAACAACCTGATATATTGTATCCCATGACTACCTGCAAAAAAACAGTGATGGTAAAATTTCAGTTGGATTGAGGTGTTCCTGCAATTTGACTCCAACCAACTAATGTTGTGTGGCTTGAACTATTTTGGTCCAGATAATGCATCACGAGATTATGGACTGGACAGGTGAGAGTGAGGTAGGTGGATGAAAGGATTGTGGAAGGTTTTAGGGTTTTATTTTGACATAGGTTTTGTTTAGTGAATTTTTGTTCCACCTATTTTGGTAGGACAAAAGAAATGCATTTTTGTCCAGTTTTTATTCTGTCGGATTTTGTTCCGCATAAGAACCAAAATGGAGAATTATGTTAAAGAAATAAGGGGAACATTTATTGACTATTGACATTATCATATTTGAATGTGGTGAACAGGTGATTGACGAATGGACAACACAAGTCTGATCTAGATCAGGTAATGAATCCCAACCCTTACTGCCTTTGATTCTACAATTGATGACCAAGTATTTGTGGCCTTCAAGATTGCAAGATGTCCCATTATAAAATATCAAAAAAATTTACCCATAAGAGTTGCAATCTTTCCTTGTTTAGAAATAGAGTGAAATATACCAATAGTCTTTGTGGTTTTTGAAACTTTACCAATTATCACTCCGATCCCCCATCGTTTCACTTTGTTTGCACCATTTATTCCTCCTAAACCATAAAAATGTAAAGCATGCGTAGAAGCCTTTAAAACGTTTAAAACTAGAAACAAAATAAAAAACTCATCCCTCACCCTTCTCCGTCATCCCCCC